TCAAAGGATGACGTGCAAAAGTGGTGCGATTTGCGATGTCCTGTGCAGGTCGGAAGGACCGAGAAAACGCAGCCGAGGCAAGCTGCAACGTTACAAGTAGGTGCGCGTTTGAACTTATCCCTTTGACATCTTGGGACCTCATCCACGAACTGCTGATGGCAAAAATACATACTCTTGTCATTGATTACTTCACCAAGTGGCCTGAAGCGTATCCTATTCCTGTCAAGAGGCTGTTACAGTAGCTGAGGTGATGATACAGCACTGGATTCCCAGGTTCGGAGTACCTCTTCAGTTACATTCCGATCAGGGAAGGAATTTTACCACCTCGGTAGTAATCAAAGAACTATGCAAACTACTCGGTATTGAAAACCCAGACGACGCCATTACATCCCCAGTCGGACGGCATGGTAGAGAGGTTCAATCGAACCATCCTTAATAACCTCTCATTAGTGGTTTCCAGAAACCAGCAGGACTGGGACAAAAATTATCGCTGTTTTTACTGTCTTACCGCAGTGCTGTCCACGAGACTACCGGCTATTCCATAGACCTGTTATATACTAGACGGAGTTCGCCATTCAAAACCGGATAAAAAGCGGCACAGGAATGAGCTGCAGGTGTTTGGGCATGAAATGGAACTGAACCCAGACTTTGCGTACTATCGCCCTGGGGATTTTTTTTTCGTTCGAAAGCGAAATTGAAAGATGTCATTTGCAGAACTGCGTTGAATTCAGAAGAGGTTAGATCGATAAACACCAGCCAAAATTATTAATTTCCTTAAAATTGGACACTTTATTTAAATTTAACTTTATTAAATTTTAATTCTAAATTAAAATAATTATCATGCTTTAGAATAATATTTTGTAATATGTTCCTCGGCGTCTCAAAATTTAAAATAAAATAAAAAAACTGGAGGAACAAACTAATAATAAATAATAAACTAAATATAAATAATAACTAAATATTAAATATAAACAATAAGAAACTAAAAATAAATAAGTAAAATAAATAAATAAAAAGAAGGTTTTTTAGTACTTAGGACAGAATAAAAAAAAAATAGATAACATAAGAAAATGAGTGAAAACAGAAATAGTACAAAAAGGAAATTTAATATTAATATCGAAAAGGAAATTTAATGTAATACGGTTATTACAGAGAACTTACAGAGTAGCGAATCAAAGTGAGAAAGATATTAAATAATTGAACTAAAATGAATCAATATAGCAGATATAAGTTAAAAGGAAGAGAGAGATGTAAATAATTAAATTATGAAACTAAAAGGTGGTAAATTAAGACTTCTTTTACTAGCAAATATATATTATATATATATATATATATATATATATTATATATATATTATGCACGTTGACAATGTAGTCACACTTATTTTAAATAATTTTAGAAGGTAAATTTAATAATGTCATTATTTTAAAAGAAACTAAACTATTAAAATTTAACTGGCTATATATTCTCATTTTTTTAATACTTAACAATTTCTTAATATTGGAATAAATGCCGAACATGATATAAGAAAGAAAATACGTGAGAAAGTAAACATATTGGTTATATTTGGATGCAGAAAAGGGGATAAAATAAAGTCATTCAGCCCCCCCCCAAAACAAATAATAATTTATGCAGTTCTTAACAGTGTTACATAAAATTACCAAGTAATTACTACATACTACTACTTCGCACATGTCCGCATAAGCAAACGCTACAAAGAATATATAACAAACGCATTCAAAGCAGTCTTTGGCGTATGAAATATGTCGCCAAAGTCGCCAATAAGATAATTAAATTATTGTATTCCTAAAATTTTAACATTTTTCGGAAACATACTACAACAACATATGTATTAAGATACGTTTATTTAAATTTATTTCAAGTATGCATATATTATATAAAATTAGAAAATCTATTTTGTTAGAAAACGGCAAGTAAGTGGATAAAAAAACCTCTACATTTATATAATTACGTTTTAAAAATTAGAAAACGCTCAGCTGTGAAATGTTCTCCTTTTACCTTTCACGTATCTGGAATTCATCTAACATGCGGAGCACAAAGTACCATTTGAAGTCGAAACAAGCGCACCACCAAAAACATTGCTTCTCACAAATTCTCCATAGACTGCAATGGGAAGGAAGATCCGCGGGAAATACGATCTGGGAAATGTTCAAAGGCACTGGTTCGCATTCCTGTTCCCTTCAGGGTTGCCGTTTCTCTCTCTAGTACATTCCACTCTATGGATATCCCGTCACAGATGCTCTTCTCGTGACCTTCGTTGCCTTGTGATCCTTGTTGGTCGCCCTCCGGATGCTCCGCATCGTCTGAGGAATTATTCAAGATTCTCCAGGCCCGGTTGAAGTGATCACAACTTTGCACGAGAGCGAGTCAACTTTGGCGACGGAGAAGATGAAGACCCGATGACACAAGAGCTACTGAACACATTCCACGAAGGACAAGGGTGGTTTGGAATCCAATCGACGAAAGACTTTGTCCGAAATTACAGTCACTGGGATGGCCCTACACATCCTAAACAGGTGAATGACGTTCGTGGTTCGGATCGTAAGTCTTCGAACTCTAAACCTAAATCGTTCATTACGACAGGTTAGCTATTACTATGGCCATAGTACATAATGTAAATAATTGTAAATAGTATCAGACCATGGTCCTTTTTGTTTTTAATTTAGTATTGATTTGATTTAGTATTTGTATTTCGTATTTTTGTATTTAGTATTTGATTAGCATTGATTTGTTTAAGTTAGTTATTGCTTTATTGTTATTGTTTGATATTGTAATGTAATGTTTATGCCACAGTTTGAAGTTTAGCTTCCTGTCCAGGATTTACTGCCCGGGATGTGCAGTCCTTGGAAGGGGCAGTGTACGAATTTGGGATTAAAAAGCTCATGTTGTTTCAATTATAATCATTGGTTTTATTTCCCGCGCAGTGCAGCGCGTGACGAATATTAAAGAAGAAAGCTAAGCCGGAAAATTAAAAATCAAGAGCGCGTGCATTAAATAAATAAATATCTCTTTTTGATTCGAGAAGTACTGGAAATTCTAGCGCGTGATTTTAAATCTTATAAAAGAGGAAAACACCTCAGTTTGTAGTAGTTGCTTAGTTTGTTGTTGTTTAGAAAATGCTCTTGTTGATTGTACGAATTCGCGGATTAGCGTTCTTTAGCTGTTTTGAATACGTTCTATGGACCATTTGAGTAGTTAAAAGATAACTACTGTGTATTTGTAATACTGCATAATAATTTGAGAAAATTTAAGCATTTTTGTTGTGATAATAATAAATTTTTGTTCATTTTTCATCGGATTTGTGCATTCATTTCCTAATGAACGCGTACGCATGCAACAATATATTGTTAAAAACCAGACCTGGAGATGAGCTGCCTTCTTCGGCAAACGATGAAACTCGAAAAAGGGGTGGGGGTCATCCAAGAGCATGCTAACTGCTTACCAACTGGCAGGATTACATATATATATATATATATGTATGTATGTAATATTGAATGATCTAAAATTCAATGATTTCGACATAATAATTAAAAAAATCTGAAAGTTTTCAGATTTTAAATTACGTCCAAAGGGGCGTTTTTTAACATTTGCGTGTTACTTTTATTTATTAAATATCACGTTCTTCGCACTTAATTCGCACTTAAAATTCAGTTCAAAAGCAGTATCGCAAAATAGTTTTAAAATGAGCATATCCCTTTAGAATTTCCGATATAGAGACTCGCGTGTTGGAGATAAAAAATTTCTTTTCTGTACAAGGTTGCCATTGCTCGCTTTGAAATCCTTGAGTTTGTTAACAAAAAATTCGTTAACGTTTTACAAAATATGAAGTCGACAATAAAACAAATTCCAAATTTGGGCTTCCACATGCCCATATTCGTAGGAGGATTACGCCATTGAAACTTCGATGGCTCTATGTGCCGTTGTTATCACAATGCAAGAAGTACACATACATTTATGCAGAGTTTTCATTATTTAATTTCTTCAAATATAATGCAGGACTGTAACATTTGGTGGCAACAGTTTGAAAAGTGAAACGGACATTTATAGTGAACCAACGCAAAATCGCAAAACGAAAACGATAGTTCTTTAGGGACAAAGCCCCTTTGGACTAAAAAAAAAGGTGATGGAATTAAACGATCCAACTTAATTTGCGCTATGTGTAAAAAAGAAGTTCATGGAGATTGTGCAGTGAAACATTACAAGAATGTTTGTGAGAATGAAAAATATTTTTATTAGAAAGAATTACTTTTCATATAATAATTAAAGTTAATTATAACTGTTTCTATTATTCTAAAAAAAAAAAAAAAAAACTATGCATTTTATTCTTTACTTTTAACGTACATACAAGAAAATTCTTCAGCACTCAAGCGGTTAAATATACATAAAAATTGTAACAAATGTAAAATATTGCCCACAATTTTTAATATTTTTCCTATTGTTATATTTCTGTTTTAGAAAGCAAAAGAATTCTAAATTTAAGATTCTATTCTATTCTAAGGAGTCTATGGATAACTAACTTTAAAGAAAGTTTATAAAAGTAAAGGAAAATTTACAGTAAAGTTACTATATAGTCGAAAGAACGAAAACAAAAAGAAAAGTCCACCGTTTCCCTTACGTGGAAACAAAAAGACAGGTACAATTATTTTTTAGGTAAAGACACAGGATAGAAAATATTTTCAGTTTCGTCCTGTTTAAAAATATACCGAAGTTCCTTTATTCAATTCTGCATCTGAAGGTCTTCAGAATAGCAAAATGAAATAAAAGTGTTTGGTAATATCTTAGGTAATATTATCTTAGGTAATCCTTAGGTAATATCTTGAACGTACGCCAGTTTATTTCATATTTAAAAAAGTACAAACGCCTTAAGGAAAAAAAAAAAAAAAAAAAAAAAAAAGATAAAAGAGAGAAGAATCAAAACGACGAATCAAAATCGTAGATTGCATATCTATTCAACTGTTTCGTATTGCGTCAACGTTATATCGGGCTTACTAAACGAAAGATTTTCCTTTATTTGGTAACAATACTTAGAGAAAAGAAAAATAATAATGCCTTCTTTTCGAAATATCTAGAACTGCTTTCCTATAAAAACGCTGAATTTTATTGGCATTTTATAGTTGCTGAGTTTCTTTCCAAGATGAAATTTAATCTAGTGGTAAGTTTCTTTTAAAATATTGCTTGTTTCAAGGAAATTTCATCTGACATGTCTGTACACGTTTAAAATGTGAATTTCAGCAAAATATCGGTTTTGATTTTTTTTTATATACATATAATGTTAGATCTGAATCACTTATTTTTCAAATTCCAGTGAAAATTCGTTTTTGTCTCATTTATAACTCGTTTGAATATCACGTTACAGTTTAGTTTGGAAACCGAAAACAGATTTTGTGAGATAGAAATTAAACAAAATGTTTATATATATATATATATGATTACTTCTTAATTTCTGATATCAAGTGTAAGGATCCTAAGTTTTACTAACGTTTATTTTATTTTAAAACCACACTGTCACTTCTTATTATCTACATCCGGCCAGAATTAAAAGCTTTAACTTATTTATGCAAACTTGTTTTGCTAACGCCCAAGTACTTAAGTTGTGGCTTTTTGCCAAGCAAGAGAGAGGAAGGAGCTATTAGAAGCAGGCCCTTGCCATAGTAGTTTTACTCGTGTGCTGGTTGCCTTCAAGGCCAGAGGTTAAATCCTCGTGATAATTTTAAACCTATCGTAGTTTTAGCAGCTCTCTAACATACGGCTTTTTGTTAATTTACGGCCAATCTTGGAGTTAGGCACTTGTTTATTAATCCAAAGTTAGTTTAGTTAGAGTTTAGTTAATATTTTTATATTCTTACGTTCAGACCACAAGTGGTTGGTCTCTGTATTCCGAAGTTCCGGAAATCATTGTAAAGATAGAAAAATAAAGGGTTTCGTATACCCTTCCTATGTGTATTGTCTGCTTCACAATTTATTGAACATAGCTTTAGTAAGCTCCCTGTTTCGAGTCAGGACAGTTAATGTTTCCAAAGAAAGCAAGGAGGAACACCAATCCTGATAAAGTTAAATTTTGTTATTCAGAAAGTATCAGTTATTAAAAATTTAACTTTAGAAAACCTTAAATTATATCTGAAGATCTGTTTTTCTTTTCGGTCAATTTGATTAAAATTTCTTGTGTTTTTGATTTATGATACTTTTCTTTGTTTTCCTTCTCTAATGTTATAAAATGCGCCGCCCAGACGGTATAGTGGTTAGGGAAGCCTGACTGCGATACTGAAGGACTTGGGTTCGAATACTGGAGAAGGCATGGTTGTAACTGTCCATCCCTTCATAGGAGGCGATGATGGCCCACCTATTAGGTGCCTCCATAATAAGGAGACCACCACATCCCACCTAGTATATATTATTGGACTGTGTTACACTGTAACTGTTTTAAAATGCTATTGTATTAAAGATCACATGTTGTAACTTTTTTTTTTTTTCCAAAGTTAACGGTAGAAAGTATCAGAAGGAAATGAAAATGCCAGGTTTTAAGAAATCGTTTCACTAAAAATTCTGTAAGCAAAAAACATGAATGTATTGAAATGCATATTGCCAAATTCTTCAGTGCCTGAGAAATAGTAGGTCTGAAGTTCATTAGTTGGCAGTTAATCGAATGTATACATGTTAACGCTTATTAGATGAAATATGCAATACTTAAGTTCGTTCTTTGCTCTTCAGAATGTGAAGCGAGTTTTATATATTAAAGTTTCAATTATATTAAAGTGGTTCAAATCCCAACCAATGCCCAATCAATGGTTGTCTACAAGGGCGTTTTCGTGGTTTTTCCCATGTGTTCCCTTAGAAAATCTCAATAAAGACATCCCTCCCCTTGAACGGATCGCCCTCGAGTGCTCAGCCATTATCAAATAAACAAAACTAAGTTAATTATGTTAAAATACGTCCAGCTGAAGCATTTTCATTAGTTTCTACAGCACACAGTTTTCCCAACTGTATTTTGTAACAACACAGAAACTGAGTTGTATATCATTCCTACGTTTAAATTAATTGGATTACTTCTCTGCTCTTTCATTTTACAGATTTTTATCCTTGGAATGTTGATCACTGCAAATGCAGTTTCTGGGTGGATCTTTCCCTTTATTTCGCCTGGAGGTACAGGTGAGGCAGACGAAAGCATACGCCCGAATACCCCGGGATATCAAAATGCCCAAGCCGAAGAAGACGCAAACGCACGTGTGGGAGATGGATATAATCGCTGAACTTACTACGAAGAATATCGGAAACAATGAAAAAAGTCTATATTGTTGATGAAATTCACTGAATTGTTAATGATATTAAGTGAATAAAACTGAATTGCGAATACTTACTGAATTATTAATGATATTTATAAGGCTAACTTCAATATTTTATTATTATTACTGTACTAATTTACATGATTGCATTTGGGAGCGGCATATAGAGATTCATTTCACAGAAATTCATAACAGTTCAAAAAATTAAATGAGCAAATGGGAAGATCTTGCAATATTTAAAGTCTGATGCTCAATTAAAGTTCCTAATTAACAATCCACTTAGCTTTTAATTACTTTACTTTAGGTAGAATACTAAGCTGTATGGTTTTAGAGACATCATCCATCGTTACATAAGCAGCATTAAAATTCTAAATGTAAACAGATTTAAATTAGTAAATGTAAAATTACGTATACCAGTTATTACAGATAATAAATTCAAAACGGTAAATAAAATTTTAAAATAGATATCATAACGCATAAATTGAAATCCTGCTTTGGAAACTCCGGCTTAATAGCAACTCATCACCGTATTTCCTTCTCTCTTAAAATTAAATTTAAAAACATGAAACTTCGAGTATTTAAAGCTTATAACTTCGAAGGTGAAAATTTCAGTAGAGACTTGCATTTTACACCTAACATCTATCCCCAGAAGTTACTTTGAGTCTTGGTCAGTTATGAGCCTTAATGAGTTATGCATAACAGTTAATACAAAGTGCAACTGAAATGGAAAAAACACATTAAAAGAATTTTTTGTTACTTCTAGTGAAACTAAAACGGAAAAAACATAAATGCACACACACACACACACACACAAAAAAAAAAAAAAAAAAAAAAAGTCTGAAAGGTTTCAGATTTTAGATTACGTCTAACGGGCGTTTTTTTTTGACGTTTTGTGTGTTACCTTTATTTAATAAATATCATATTCTTTGCACCTCAACCATAAAATTCAGTTCAATAGCAATGTCGCAAAATAATTTTAAAATGAGCTTATCTTTAGAATTTCCAGTTCCGCGCGCTGAAGATAAAAAGTTTTTTTCCCCCCTGTATTGCCATTCCTCGCTTTGAAAAAAAATCGTAAATTTTTGCAAAATACGAAATCGATAATAAAACAAATTCCAAATTTCAAATTTGGTCTTCCACATGCCCATATTCGTAGGAGGATAACGTCGTTCAAAATTCGATGGCTCTATGTACCGCTGTTGTATCACAATGCGAGAAATATACATATATTTATGCAGATTTTTCATTATTTAATTTCTTCAAATATAATGCAGGACTCTAACATTTGGTGGCAACAGTTTGAAAAGTGACACGCATATTCACAAAGCCTACAGACAATTTCGCTACGGGCTGCTCTCATTGGAGGAAACATCTGCTTGGCGGTCATATTTGGAATGGCGAGTTATCGCCCTGTAGGAGTGGTAATTAACAGCAAACAAACGGAAACAGCGTTTATTTCATTCAATATTTTTTTAGTTTATGAACGAAAGCTTAGAGGAATTGTGTGGAATATATCTTAAATAACCTACTGATCTTATTAATAGTTTATTTGTATTTGAATTTAAACTTTTAAAAGTACGTAATTGTTTTACAAGAAAAGGTATTTTAATTTGAAAAACCTTTTCCATCAGTTCTTGTTTCCATTTACAACTCCCTACCAGCATGAGTGAACTGTGTAAGGAAGGTTCAACTTACTGCATTAGAGTGTTAGGAATCCTTAGTAGCACGTGTTTGCATTCGGGCTGAGTCTCTCCTGAAGCTGTTACACTCGGCCGTGTTATTACGTGCCTTTTAATATTCTCCGGCTAGTTTAAATTAAAGAGCCAACTACATTAGATAATTGTGCTTAGCATCGGCTGAGTTTCGTTTAGTTAGTTATAGTTTAGTTGAGTTAGTATTAAACACCATATCCTTAATATATCTGTATACCTAAACATGCACCATAATAATAATAGTGAAAAGTGTTCCTCTTAGTCTCAGTAGTCCCCATCATGCACCTTCTTTCCATGTTCTGGTCCTTCTTTCAATGTTCCTCGTTTATCGTGGCCAGTTCCTGGAGGACACTGCACTAAGCTCTAAATATAATCAATTCCTGGAGGACACTGCACTAAGCTCTAAATATAATCAATTCCTGGAGGACACAGCACTAAGCTCTAAATATAATCAATTCCTGGAAGACACTGCACTAAGCTCTAAATATAATCAATTCCTGGAGGACACTGCACTAAGCTCTAAATATAATCAATTCCTGGAGGACACTGCACTAAGCTCTAAATATAATCAATTCCTGGAGGACACAGTAATAAGCTCTTTATTTATATTTATTTATGCATTTATTTTTAATTCCATCGACAGGACCCAACAGGCTGAAAAGCATCTAACGCAGTGGGCTAGCTGTTCCGTCGATGGCGAAAAGAAAGAAAGTTATTAGATTAGCTTCATATTTCTTATTCTGAGTTAAAACCCAAGAAGAGGCTTTGTTGTAAGGAAGGGGCCGACTGCTTTACTTTGAGGGAAATGTAGGGTATTTTAACCCTTCTCGAGTTAGTTGTTGCAGCGAACGTTGAGGAAACTAGTTAACTGTGTATCTACAAGTCACTACGCAGTTCACTAGGTTCCTCGACCTCCGCTACAACAACTAACTCGATTAAAATACCCTATATTTCCCTCAAAGTAATAACAGCGACAATTCACTAAGCAGTTCACTAGGTTCCTTGACGTTCATTTTAAATAAATAATGTGAGGAAGCCTACAATGTAACGACGCATTTTCTCTATGTCCTACGAAGATCCTTTATTTATATAAAATATCCTTTATTGGTTGAGACTTTGGATTGTCTGAAAACGTTGTAAGATATAAGCAGTCAGTAGTATTTAGTTCGATAACTGTTTGTTATCTTTTAATGAGCTTTGTACTTCCTCATTCACAATAGAACCTAGATTTATTACCGAAAAGCTAAACTAAGTGCTGATTTACAGTCTCGTTTGAAATAAGTGTTACACCAAGAACAAAATTTTGAAGCTAGCGAAACAAGTAAAATCCTGAGTATAGAAGATCAGGCAAGTACGGTACGTATGGCAACAATTTTCATCCAAACTTTCAGTAACTTTTGACAGGCGAACAAGCTTGTATGTGGCCTAGCCTATTCGGGATGAAATGCAAATATTATACGATTAATGAGCTCTGAAAGCTTCTGGAAGATGAATTCGCTGAAACTGTTCCAACTGGTGACAGCACACACTCTAAGTGATTTCTTGGCTCATTGGTAGGAGCCTGAAAACAAAACCACACGTAAGTTTGATCACCTGACAAAAATTATTGAGCTTGGATGTAGATAGTGTTGCCACGCCTCGTTTGATCTTGTGGCTGCAGGTTTTCACTTGTTTCGCTCTGTTCAAATTTTCTTTCGTATAACATTCAATTCAGACGAGGCTATAAATCAGAATCTTGTTCAACGCTTTGTTGATAAAATGTGGTTATTTTGTTAACGAGGAATTACGAAGCTCATTAAAAGAAAGTAAAAAATTATCAAATAAAAGGACTACTCACTGATCATGTTTTTTTATCTAAATAAAGGACCTCTGAAGAACATCAAAAATTGCGTTATGACCTTTCAGACAATCGATAGGTTAGGTTAGATTATTTAATTACGGCAAAGCCTCGAAGGCTATCTGCCTAACGATGCCTTCGTGGAGGACTAAGGGAAACTGACTCGTATACACGTTACACATGGGGAAAACCACGAAAACACCCATGAAGCCAGCCCGTTCGCGGGATTCGAACCTCGGACCGAACTACCAGTGTTCAGCGACTTTATCACTCGGCCGCTGGTGGGCCTTCAGACAATTGAATATATTTTACTTGTTACATCCGTTGCTCACCGCTGGCCACTCATTACTTACGCTCTAGTTTGTAGAGTCTGGCCACTGCTGCCTCTCTAAAACTGCTTTACTGTCTGTTGACTGGCTGACTACCGTCTATTAACCATCTTCTGTAAGCAAGAGTGGACGTACGCTTCTATAGTGCCTTAGTTGTCGCCCCTTCCCCCAAAAAACATTGTTCAGTATGCAAATTTAAATTAATAAATATGCAAGTGTTCTTACACTTGCAGTGTTATAAGTTTTCATTCTACATTCCAAATTAAGCTTAAAAACTACATGTAAAAACTTCTCATTTAAGTAATTTTTCATGTCGTAGTTGTACAAATCTAAAATACTTAACCTTCAGTACATTTCTTTACTTGTATAGTAGAACATTCTGAGACTATGATGCATATAAAAGAATAATTAAATTTCAAGATGAAAATTTTCTAAAACGAAATAGTTTTATTTTCTTAGTTCTGTATATGAAACAAAGCATCTTTATCTAAAAAGTGCTCGAACAGCTTTTCTTGAACCATTGGGATTGAGTCCAGATTAACATACAGAATTTAAGACCATTTATCAAAGAATTTTATTTTTGACCCAGTAATGCAAGTCAAAGAAATATTAAAATATATATTATACAGAGGATGTTCGAACATTTTTAGACGATTTTTATTGTAAGGTATTTCTTCCGCCTTCTTAGCGAGCGTTTGTGGTGTATTGGTCTGCACGCTCAGCGTGTAATTGAGAGGTCCGCGGTTCGATTCCCGACGAAGGTGTTGCATATTTTTCATCTTGCCTGCTAAAAAAAATACGTAATGTTTCTACAGTTTTTACAGAAATAGTTTACCTAAAGATTTTGTGCTTTAAGGGATCTACTTGATAACAGCTATTCTTCACTATCTTTCCACACCGTAATTTCCCCCTCCACAACACAATAACGCTTTTTATACTACTGGAAGAGGTATTTTATTGCGTTCCCTTGAACAGCCTTCTAAAGTCCAAGAAGGGTTGTAGGCTGGCGTTTGGGCAATCCGCAGTTTTAAAGTCCAAAAGCGCACTGGATATTTGGTAAGGATATGTGTGAAGGTTATGGCCTCCACTCATATCCATTGTTCCATTTTTCAGGACATTAATAGTGGATTTTGGTGTGTGGCTGCAGGATTTGTCTTGATGCAGTTCGACTGATTGAGGACACTGTGGGTAC